GGGTCGGCCTCGGTCCGTCGAGCGGTAAAGACGTGTTGTCGTGCCGCTCCGTCTTCGTGCCCCGTTTACGTGTGTATCAAGTGCAACAAATTATTCTAAAGTGTCCTTATTTATTAAGTGATTCATCGCGTTTCGTTTGGTATATCGTCCATATTTTTCTCGTATTGTCTTGTGCTGTAAACTGTGAATTTTATGTGTCTCGTGAGTAATGATGGCCGTTGACATGAACTGTCACAACGAGGTCGACCCCTCTTCTACTCTTCACGCGCCTCTCTCCTTCCAGTATCCTGTCAAACTCAGTTCTGAGGGAGTAAAAATACCTACGGAGTCGTTTAGGATATACCCGTATCATCAATAAGGTCAGTCTTTAGCATTAAATACTTCTATCTATCAATCATGAGCAAAATACGTTACATATTCATATACGTCTGCCGCCTAAGTGATGCGCATGCGCCAACCATTTAATTTTATCGTTTTGTATATTCCATTTACTTATCAGCCAGTACTATTTCAGCACTAATCTCATTGGCCCATAGTAGCCAATTACATAAATTCTAATTTATTACTGGCCAACATACATGACGCAATGTCATATACTCCAATGAAAATATCTCTATCTCATGATTGGCTCACATGCTCCAATCGTCGAAATACCACAGCTCGTCGACTAATACTACAAGCCGCAATAGACAAGATGCTCGTGCAACATAACCCTATATGTCATCTACTACGTACAAAAGTATATGACGCAAGCTTAAATAAGACGACCTGTACATCTCGGGATCTTAGCCCAAATCCAGTGTCATTTTTTTACTCTTTAACCACCGAACACTTAAAAGACAGTTAGAGGCTATTCTGAATTCTCTTGCGTTTTAAAACAGTTTCCTACATGCAGCTAAGTGACACATAACCTTTTCTTTTACTCAATAAATTAAAATGATCCTTATATATCTTCTATAGATTAAAAGCTTCCTACCTTGTTCATTGTATCCTATCTCATATTAAATCGAATGATTAAAAGCATTTGCCTAATGAATATAATCATGTTACATCACAGGTTTTCCTACACCTCGTAACATATTTTATACCCTGTCAAATCAATTGTTCATTTCATCCATTTACTTAGGAGGAATGCACGGGTGAAAGAATTATTAGCTAGTCGTTTTTAATAGCACAATTTTATTTATTCTGACAGTTTCTTTTTGAAACTCAAATAATCCTATATGTTTTTATATCGTCTCTTAACGTTTTATTCTATTTTATCCTTTTTTATTTTACTACAATTTTACTTTATATTTTTTCTTCTCTTTACTTTTATTCTATTTATTCTACATATTTTATATTATTTATCTTACCTTTTGGACTTACCTCTGTATCACTGTGTGCCTGTATGTTCTATTTATACTCTAATACTTCTTTTGCTCTATACACTCCCCTACTTGAATCTAAAACATATAAGGTCTGTGTCACAAATACCCAGCTGTTTTCTGACATCCTAACTTAAGCCTAGTTCTCATAAGTATGTTATTCTTCTATTTTTTTTATTTACCTATCTATCCTACATCTATCTTTTCTTTCCAATCCTCTCCTGTCCTTAATTTCCCTCTGTGTTTCGTTATGTCTAGTTCCCTTAGGTACGAATGTGAGCGTGAATGATTGTATGGGCTGTCGCATGCGTTGAGGGGGCTGGGAGTGCTCCCGGTGCTGCAGCGGCGTAGTTTCCCTGCTTCACTGGGGGCTGATGTGTGCCTCGCACTGCTGAGGCCTTCCTTGCGCATGACGACCGGGAATACCCCCTTCGGGCCCTGGCCAGGTATTACATCTTGGGTTGGAGTGTCGGAGCTCCAACTGTGTTGACGAGCGAGCATCCCCCGTGCGTGTTTCCCCGGGGGATAAAGAGCTAGCGTAGGGTCGGCGGAGTTCCGCCGAGTGAGGAGAGCCACGGGTGTACCCCCCTGCGTGCTGCCCGCTCCCTGATGTATAAGCGGTATAAAACATTACATTATGGAATTTTTCAAAAAACAAACTAACAAAACACAAGTCACCAAACCCACGCAAAAATCGAACAGTCCCACTGCTCACTTTGAGAAATCTCTCAGTGGCAACACAACTGCAATTGAGTATACCGATATCCACGCAAATGATAAATCTATCATAAATCCTTCAACCGAGGAAGATAGTGACTCGAGACTTACTAGAGACAAAGAGAAGAGTCAATTCGACATACCGGACATGTCCTCCTATGTTTTGGGACATACGCCTCGTCACTCCCTTACTCGTACTCCACCGTCTGGCAGTCGAGGTTTAACTGGCATAGCAGGCGACGAATCGTTCTCTAAGGCCCTTCCCGTATCCACTTCCTCCATTAAGCGCAAAAGGGCCCTTGCCTCGAAGAGTGCTGAAAAAGATGAAGCAAATGGTTCTAAATCCTCGCAAAACAGCAGTCGAGGAAAGAAGAAAACATATAAAAAGAGCGACCTCGAATATGACGACGCCAATATCTCCGACGTCGAAGGAGCGAGTAACATCTCTTCTGAATGTGACGACACTTCTTCAAATATAACTGGAGCACTTCTTGGCTGCGTAAAGAAGATAGAAGTCGTTCGCTCAACCTCCTCTAATCTAAAAGGAGGGTACATTAAAATATTAAAAGAAACAGAAGAAAAGATTAAGAAAACTTGCTCACAGTTAATTCATGAGACTACTAAAGACCACAAGTGTAAAAAATCCGAAATTCTAACTAAAAAGAACCTGATACTTACTGATCGGATTAGACAACTTGAATCTCGACTCAAGTCGGTCGAACTCCAATTATCCACGCAAGCATCCAAAACCTCCTATGATTTTGTTCCCCCTTCGGCACCTTCCTCCCCTACTCCGTTCATGGGTCCATCTGATTTAGAAAAAATAATAGATACCATAAACAAAAACATGGAAGTTAAGTTTATTAACTTCAAAAAAGAGATTGTGAGTCTCCTTGGAGAGAAACCACGGCATCCCTCCAATACACGTCCTAACTTACCTTCACTAAACATACCTTCCACAACAACGAACCTGAGTATCCCTGCTCACACCCCGTTAGTAACGGTCAACTCCGATAAACCTCTAGATCAGTTACCGGAAAGCTGGGCCGAAGTTACGAAATCCAAAGGCAGGAGGAACCTTTCTCCGAAATTGAATACCCGGCGCACCACTACAACCGAAGCTGCCACACTTCCTAAAACTCCTCAACCTTCTCGCCTAATGAAGAAGCCGCGAAATGTTGAAGTCATTCATATCTCTACAAACAAAAATAGTAGATTATCTCTTTGCGAAATCCTAACAAAGGCCAAAGAGAACATTAACTTGCAAGAATTAGGAATAGACTCAATTAAACCTCGCTCTGCGATGAATGGTGGCCTACTCCTTGAAATCCCTAAGAAGGGCAATGACGAGCTGGGTCCCACGCTAATGAACAAAATCAGTTCTCTCTTCCCCTCAGGCGACGTTAATATTTCGTGTCCTAAAAAATACAAAGAACTTCTCATAACGAATCTGGATTTAGCCTCCTCCCACCAAGAAATTAATAACACTTTACGCACCATATGTGGAGATAATGAAAGCTTCATACTTGGCCCAGTTCGACCCAATACAAGGGGAACGGCCACAGTCTGGTGCAAGTGCAATGAAACTGCAGCCTTTAAACTAATATCGAAACAATCTGCCTTAATTGGCTGGTCCACTGCTAAGTTCTTACCCCTCGAGAACAGACCCATCCAATGCTTTAAGTGCTGGGACTTCGGACACGTCCGAAATAACTGCACGTCAGAAATTGATATGATAGACTGGTGTTATAAATGCGGTCACCAAGGGCACCCATCCAGTACGTGCTCCTCATCAGAATCTATTTGTAAAATATGTGAACGGAACAAATTTAAAAACGATCACAAGATGGGAACTGTAAGTTGCCAAAGCTTCCAGAACTTTAAAAAAAGTCTGAATAGCGTTCCTACCCGTTCCACCATTCCATTATCGAACAAAATCCAGGGTAATCGCATCAGGGTGGAGGAACCTGCAACGACAAAGCGTTAACAAGTTTTACCTAATTAANTATTTATTTATTAATTTATTTATTTTATTTATTTTAATTCCTTTATTTTAAATACATCTTTTTATTTTATTCTATTCTATTCGCTATACTTTATATAATCGGTTGAGACAAACTATACGCTGCTATGAACCATAATTCCTCTATACCTTTCATCCAAATAAACTTGAATCATGCGTCTGCAGCCCAGTCTCTTCTCGAAAGAAATATTGTACAGAGAAACTCGTGCGTCGCAATTGTATCAGAACCCTACAATCCATGCAGGCCTGGCTGGTTCGGTGACACTGCGTGCAGGGCTGCAATTGTTGCAGAAGGACTCTCTTCTCATCAAACACAATTAGTCACCTGTGAAAATAATATAGTTGCAATTATTATCCGCTCCATTCTAATAGTATCTGTATACTGTTCTCCTAGCGAAAAACGCGTTGAATTCGAGAATCAACTTCGAATAATAGCTGAGATTATTAACCAACGAAAAGGTCTCTCAATTATTGTAGGTGGTGACTTTAATGCTGCATCCACAGCATGGGGTTGCCAGAGTAATAATGTTAGAGGAAAGGTTCTTGAAGCATGGGCAAAGTCAAATAACCTGATTATTTTAAATAAAGGGAACAAACCTACGTGTATCCGTCCTCAGGGTTCATCGATAGTGGACATCACCTTTGCAAATAAAGCAGCTGCCGCTCATATTACCGGTTGGTGTGTTGAGGAGACCGAATCCCTATCCGACCACCAATATATAAATTTTTTAATGTCTATACCTGCTCGAGTCTCCAGAAAAAACAAAGCCAGTATATTCCCTAGATGGAATATAAAATCACTGAAGGAAGACATCTGTGAAGCTACGGCTATAACAGATGCCTGGAACAGATCCACGAAATCAAAACCCTCCTTTTATAAAAGAATCAAGAACATCAATTCATCGTTAACTAACCTTTGCAATCTGTCAATGACTAGGAAGGTCTTTACCTCTAAACTCCCTCCTCAGTCATGGTGGTCGGTAGAAATAAAAAATCTTCGGTCACAATGCCAGAAAGCTAGAAGAAACTGGCAAAAGTTAAAAAAGAAAGCATACAGCGGGAAAATTACCTTTACAGTAGCTAATGCCGCTGAACTGCAATATAGAGTCAGCAAACAAAAACTTAAACACTCCATAGACAAAGCTAAAAGCTTGCAGTGGCAATCCATCATATCCACAATCGATAAAGACCCCTGGGGACGTCCCTATAAATGGGCAACAAAAAAAGATAGCATTACTCATATTCCACTCACCGAGTACATAGATCCGGCCGTATTAAGGCGTGTCCTAGATGATCTATTCCCATCACCCACTGACAGGAAAGTAAGAACAGGCAGCTTCACCTGGCATCATAACTTTGTCGTCACAGACAGAGAGGTCGAATATGCTGTAAAGCGAATGTTAAAAAAGAATTCTGCTCCTGGAATATCGGGTGTTCCAGCAGTAATTGTAGCCTGCTTAATTAGGAAAAATATTACCTACATTTCAGAGATGTACACTGACTGTCTTAAGAAATCAATCTTTCCCACGATGTGGAAGAAAGCCAAGTTATTTCTTCTGTATAAACCTGGCAAGCCTTTAAATGATCCTGCAGCATATCGACCGCTCTGTCTGCTCGATGATATAGGCAAAATATTCGAAAGGATTATTGTTGAACGCCTGGAACTACACATGAACAATTCCGGTCACAGGCTCTCTGAATTCCAATATGGATTCAGAAAAGGAAGAAGCACTCTACAAGCTCTCTCTCGCGTCTGTAACAAAATCAGGAATAATTATGCTAATGGGATAGTTACTATTGCTGTTAGCATTGATATCAGTAATGCTTTCAACTCTATACCTTGGTCAGCAATCATTAAAGGATTAATATCAAAAAAAGTTCCGACTTACCTTATTAAAATAATACAAAATTACTTAAGAGAACGTGAAATTTTTGCCATTAACAAGGAGGGCCATGTAGTAGTCAAAAAAGTGTGTGCCGGAGTTCCCCAAGGCTCTGTTTTAGCAGCCTCTCTGTGGAACATCGGTTTCGATTGCATACTTAACCTAAGCCTCCCTTTCGAATCAGAGATTACAGGTTATGCCGACGATACATTGATTTTAACCTCGCACTGTGACCGGAAGAGTTGTCGCCTTATCGCCTCCATTTCCACTCAACATGTTATTGACAGCATTAGATCTTTAGGTCTCAGGGTGGCCGCTCACAAAACTGCAGTTATGTGTAGCACTCCAGCACGAGCTAGAAAGAATGATACCGTAAACTATATAGTCTTAGACAAATCTAAAATATTCTTTGTCGACTCGTTTAAATATTTGGGAGTGTTTCTTGATGAACGGCTCACTTTTTCCACGCACATAGAAAAAATTATTCCAAAAGTTACCGGTTTCATTAATCGCATCAAAAGAATCCTTCCTAATATTAATGGGCCATCTGAATCTACCCGGCGCTTATACTCACATACCTTTAACTCCATGGTATTATACGGTGCACCGATATGGTCGCAAGAAGTTTTATCTAGTAAAAATCTATGTAGAAACCTACTAGCTGCCCAAAAGAAGATGGCGAATAGAATAGCATGCTGCTATAGGACGGCCGCATTATTATCAGTTTTATTGCTGGCAAGGTGTATCCCGCTCGATATCCAGATCGAATTCACCGCCAAAGCTTACCACAACATCGAAGCTCTTAAAAAACGAAGGAACCTGCGCCGTAATGAGATAACTCGGTTAAAGGCGAATCTTCATGAAACGATGCGTATCGAGTGGAAAAGGAGACTCACCACTCAAAATTTTCCTGACAATTCTCTTGGTCAAGCAATTTTCGCTTCCTTTGATCGGTGGATGAAACGTCCTCATGGTAGAATTAATTTTTATATCTCACAAGCTTTTACCGGACACGGCTGTTTCGGAAAATTCTTAGCACGTATCAAGAAAGAAACGTCAGCATCCTGTCACCACTGTGACTCTGAATGCGACGACAACATTCATACACTCTTCCACTGTCCAGCCTGGCAGGACCGCAGACGTATGTTACACAGATCACCCAATTCCATCTCTACGCTTACTTCACTAATCACTTATATGCTTCGATCCTCAAAGAACTGGACTAAAGCCAGTTATTTCATCTGCACTGTTATCTCTGAAAAAGAAAAAGCAGAGAGATTAAGAGAGCACTCTAGGATCACTTAATCCCCGACTTTTCTACATATTTATATGCTTTATCGGTTCCATTATACACTCTCACTTTATTCTTTTTTATCCTTTTGACACATATCTTTATCCTCTTACTTACATATATGTTATTTATTTATCTGTTGCTCTAAGCGTTATTTATCGATATGTTTTCTGTTATTTATCGATATGTTTTCTGTTATTTATTGATATGTTTTTCCGTTATTTATTAATATGTTTCTCTGTTATTTATTGATATGTTTCTCTGTTATTTATTGATATGTTTCTCTGTTATTTATCGATATGTATTGATATGTATCACGTTATTTATCTATCGACTTCGTTAATTATCCACTTCACGTTATTTATCACATAACATGTCATACGTTACATATTATTTATAAAGAAGTCTCCATGATATTTATTTGACATGGTTCACGTTTATTGAACTATTTATCTCTTATTATTATTTGATTTGTCCTCCACTAGAGATGGCTCCCTAGTGGAGGTATGTATAAAGGGCACTCTTTTCCTTCGGCACCTGGCCGCTAATATATCTGTGCATCTCATTGTAGTAGATCATATCGATGTGCCAACCCGGCATGGCGCGTGGGGCCCGGGTGCAATCCGCAAGGGGTCCCCGGGCCTCCCACACATGCGCCGGTATAAGGAGCCATCGGGGGGTTTTAGCCGGTAGGAGTCCGGCACT